ACTCGTGTTTAACTCGGCTTTCTTCTCTTTTGATGGGGTCATTTACAGACAAAAATTTGGAATGCCTATGGGTTCACCTCTGTCTCCAGTGATCGCTGACATTGTTCTACAAGACCTGGAAAAGAAAGCTTTAGATACTCTAGGTTTTTATATCCCGTTTTATGTCCGTTATGTGGACGATATCGCCATGGGTATCCCTTGTGAAAAGACCTCAGAAATTTTAAATATATTTAACTCGTTCCATCCTAGATTACAGTTTACGATGGAGATAGGTGGCAGTGAACTGAATTTCTTGGACATTACCATTATTAAAAACGAGAGATTGGAATTTGATTGGTACCATAAGCCAACATTCTCCGGGAGATACTTGAATTTTTTGTCAGAACATCCTCTTTCACAGAAGAAGGGCGTGATTATGGGAATGGTTGATAGAGCTTTCCTATTATCAGTTCCTAAATATCACAAAAAGAATTTAATTTTTGTTATAGAGACACTTTTAAACAATGACTATCCGATGGATTTTATATTTAATGTAATAAGTGAACGTCTTAAATCTTTGTTACATGGGAAAACATTGAGACAAAATACTGAGAATGAATTATATACAGATGACACAAGAAAGATGTGGTTCTCGTTTCCTTATGTGACGAAGGTTTTGGACAAATTTAGAGATATAATTAAGGATTTTAACGTCAATCTTGCGTTCTTCAGTAATAAACTCAATTGTTTTATAAAAACACATAAAGATCCAGTGCCTAATTTGGCAAAGAGAAATGTAATGTATAAGATTAACTGCAATGATTGCGACGCATCATACGTCGGGCAGACAAAAAGAACAGTGAAGACGAGAATCACAGAACACAGAAATGATATTCGAAAAACTAATAGCAATCATTCAGTTATCACTGAGCATAGATTGAATTTTAACCATGATTTTGATTGGGACAAGGTGGAAATTGTTGATAATGAACGATTTTTATACAAACGACGAATTGCCGAAATGATCCACATACAATTGCAGAAAAATGGTTTGAATTCACAGTCCGACACCGAATTTTTACATCATGCATATATATCGATTCTTAACGATCTAAACTGAATATAAGCATTAGTATGTTACCTACCTTTATCTTTTGTTGTCTATGCTTGGTGTGAATCTAACATACATGTTGTGTTTTTTGATTTGTTCAATATGTAATTTCTTGAAGGTTGACTTACGTATGTTTCATGCTTGTATTTAAACACTTTTCGGTTTGACTTATTCGTTTGTCGATCTCTAGTCTGTTAACATGACATACCACGTTTCTCGATATAATTTTTGATTTAAATTTTTCTAATAATGACATACTTGTGGAAAGTTTTTATTTTTTGTTGACGATTGTTGAATTTTGCGGC